CACTTGTCCTCTCATTATCTCACCTTGACCCGACCTTTCCCTTTCTTCTTGCCTTTCGATTGGTTTTTGCTTTGGCTTTTGTCTTTGTTTTGCCTACAATGATTGATTTCATTCCAAACATCGCGTTGCGTCAACGTTCCCTCGCTGTGCCTTGAGACGCGCAGATGCAATCGATTCAAGTACACTCAGCGGACCATTGACTCCTCGGCCCATTATCATTGCAAGCAATCTGACGACGAATGGCGCGGCTTGATTCCAGAGTATTCCGTAAATTAACATGGTTTCGAACAAAGATCAAATCCGATATTATTCAAGTAAGAATCGTGAGATAAATTTAATGGGTCTCGGGCGCGTACATGAGTTGCTGTAAAATTTCCTGGTACTTATTAGGTCTTCAAATTCAACGGTGAGCTTGGCCATAGTTGATGTATCGCGTATAGACTCTGCCGCAGAAGCCCAAGTACCCGAGAATCTGCTTTTGATAGGGTACATGGTATATTCCACAGGGCAGTTGCATAGTTTAAAAGTTTTGAACTGCGGCAACGAATTTGTTGAGTTAATTCTCATTCGTTGTGGGATCTATGAACCGTTAAATTCATATATACCAAAGTATACTTGATATGCCGGCATGCCGTGCATTCTGGTTCGCGAGACCAGTTAATACGCACTTACTCATGAAACAAGAAGCACTTCGTGAATCCGACGTACGAGGTTAAGTCTCATTGGTTCACTAGAAGCACAAGATTTTCAGTTTCACAAAGGCTCAGGAAGGGCTACGTGCTAAAATGAGGTTCCTGTGAGCACAGAGAAGTTTTTCTAGAATAAGCAGGAAGCGGACACAAGAGCTTCATTCTAAGGACGATGATTTTGGAAAGTTAAGCATCTGTGAGGGGTATGCATGTGCCAGCTTCATTGGTAGATCGGTTTATAATAGAGTATGAATCGCACAAGCGGCTAATTATTATACAGAGCTATTGAGGTATGTAATACTTATCATTAAATTGATATTGCCATCTACGCATGATAGTTAACAATGTTCTTTGATCGCATTTCAGGTTTATAATTATAGGCCCAAGAAAATTTCAAACAGCAGTAGCTAGGCCTGACGTACGGCTTGGTTCACAAGGCCAAGTCGGACTGATATCGGTACTTAATTCCATCGGCTTATACTTTCTATATATAGTTTCCGGTTACAGATATACCGCCGAGCTTGGTATGCATATGCCGTTTCGACGGACTCGATGCACTGGCTATCGCGATATCGGGATCATCTTGATATTGACATATCCTATCCATGGTCCCTATATATCGGAGCCTTCTGAGTCATCCGCTTCTTCGTCAGAGGGGTACAATTTTGGGCGTATAGTAAGAGTGCCACCTTAGCGGCCAATCACGGTGGGTAAGCCGAGTGAAGTCCGCTTGCCCAATCCCGTTCCACAAAACAGGAACCTCATAAGGTGGTCGTGGATAAGCTAATTCCTCCAATCTCTTGACTGGCGATGAGACACCTTGCCCAATCACGGTAGCAAGTAGCCCTGAAACAAGCGCCGCTGCTATATTTGATCAATATTAACATTAGCGAAAAGAGACCGCGCAGCTGTCGATCCTTAGTTTATATAACTAAGCATACCTCCAGATGTTGCTCCATTGAGAACTCTTATACTTGTTGGTCCATCCTCTAAGTCAATCAAGCACATCGGATCCACCGGAGCATAAAGCTTCACGAAGTCGGCGGAGTAATAGGCATTTCTCCCAGTAGCGCTCTCAGCACCACCGGCGATGATCAAATGTTCTAGGTCGTCGGGGACTCTAGCGTCGTATTTGTGTGCGGCTGGGAACATCCTTTTGGGAATTGGCAGAGACTATCAATAATATATGTCAGCTCAGACTGAGTTTTATAATTTATATCAAAGGCATGTAATATATGTAGATTGAGGTCTCAGACGCAGGGTTTTCTCGTGCATGTGCTTGCGACGAAAAGTCCGTTGTATCGTACGCACATGCAAGACTGTATATCTTGTCCGGCAAAGCTAGAGCAGCGTAGAAAGCCTTTTGTAATTGTGTGTGCGATAGGCAAAGAACTATTACAGGTAGTTTCTTACCATAGGTTCGCCTGGCTTGAGGTTAGTGTATTCCTTGTGAGGAGGGTTGCCGGCAGACACCACAAAATAGGCCCCCTGTTTTCGGAAAAGTCCAATGAGTTCCCGCTCAATACTAATGGCAGCGTTGGCAAATTTGTTCATATGTTGCACCCAGGGGTGATCTTCTGGAAACCCACGACCATCTGCCGAGTCGTATCTATGACCACTAGAGTAATTGATTATTATTCCCTCTCGCTTGTCGCTAGTGATGCGGGCTTGTATGTGATCGTAAATTTTTAGACAGCAGTCTAAGAAGACAAAATCATGCATGTTCCCGCGACCTGTGGTCATTCTTACAATAACCAATTCCGAACCAGGGGCTACTCCTGTCTCCAAACCAGCTATCTTAGAGGCAACCTTAGACCCATGAAATGGCTGGTACGGAATATTTTTTCCTATGAACTCGGGGGTCACGAGTGTATCCCTTGGTCCTGGGAAGGTTTCGGTTTTCTCATCAGAAGGAAAGGGTCCAGCATACAACCAGTCCGCTCCTTGTTGTTTGTCAAAGTCCTACAAGTGAAACGCATACCATTGTCAATATGATATGTTATCCAATGCTTGCAAACAACCCCCAGCTAGCATCTGAGATGTGTCGCAATATATAGGTTGTAAAAGAGAATTTTGGCCGAATTATTCACCAAACCAGATGCCTATTGCGCTGGTAGTCAAGGACTGATGCAAGGGCTATGTCATGGAAACTTCGTGCTGAATGTATACAATTCCCAGGAAGTCTCGACTGAATACTCTGGCTCTCCTAGTTGCCAAAACTGAAATAAAAACGGCTAACGAAAGGAAAAAGTCGGCGAGGTCGAGCTTGATTCTGGAGGATGCACTCACTTTGTGGCTCATGTCGCAGCCCGTGTCAAGTACATATACTCGAGCACCCCGTCCCGCATCCTTACTTGTGATAGAAGTCATATCTGCCTGTTCATACGATAATTCTGGCGGCTTGGACATGGCTACCAGATCATAGCAGAAGGTCTTACGAGCAAAAAGAGTTTTCTCATCGAGCTCGAGGCCTCTTCGCGCCATCGTATATTTGGATGGTGGTGCAGAACCTGACGGTTGTAGGAGACATTTTCTTCGTTTTTGGATCCGACTTGGGTAATGTCCGAGGTCACGCCGGTCTTTTGTATCTTCTGAAAGTTTAACTCTTTTTGGCGGACGCTCGTCCTCTGGTTCCCGGTCTCCTCCAGGCGGTGAACTATCCACCTCGGCTGAACCGTCATCGGAATCGTCATCGGAACTCGAATCGAAATCGGAATCGGAATCTCCGCTTATAAAGTCAAAGCCCTCTATAATGCCTATATAGTGATTCGTTGTCACAGCGTAATGTGTGATCTATGAATTTGATATCCAAGCAGACGGATATCGTATGTGAACACCTTAGAAAATCTGTGCTACCAACGTTGTCCGGAAAGGATCAACGTAATAGATTGTCTAGACGAGTGCGCTGACATACAAGCGCCATATCACTTACCAGACCTGAAAAATCAGCAGCAAGTTTTACCATTTCAGCTGTTATAGGGGCCAATCCTACCCTTGCTTCCACAATGAACACCCATGTGCCCAGGTACTGGCTTTTTACTTCATAAAGGCTATGGGCGCGTGGTGCCAAAGCGACGGCCATGGCCCTTGTCCGGAATTTGCTAAGGCTAGCCTCATCCTTCCTGCGGGAACTCTTCACAATATACGCCCAATTACAGAATAATTGGTCTGTCGTCCCTATTTTTAGCTGATAGATGGTTTGAGAGACTGCAATCGAAATGTTTAGTAGAAGGGAGAACAAAATGTGCAAAAGAGAGACAGGATCTAGACCACGCGGAGGTCGCATCTTTGCGGTTCGGTAGTGAAGTAGATGCAATGACCGACATGTGGGGAATGCCCGCGGTTGGTTGTTTTTGCAAAAGAGGAGGCTTTGATCGACTGGTAGAGCCGGACCGCAACATCTTGACCCGAAGACCTTGCAGGAGGAAAGAGTTTTATATTTAGTTGACAGTAAGTTAGAATACTATCTGTATGGCTAGTTGCTTTGTAAGTGTGCCGCTAGCTTCGCACGTCTGTACCATAAGCTATCGTCAGAAACTCGGAATGCGAGGTATATAAGGTGCATGGACATGGGCATCCTTCAACTTATTCTTGTGTTGCTATATATGTGTACACGTGTTCCGTATGCTAGGCCACAGGGCTACTTTCCCCTCAGTCCATTCCTCAATTAATTTACCACCGGATTGTTATTGGCACGTCTGTATAGGCCCTGCCTTGTAACACATGCACAGCATGAGGCTAGGTTGAAGGTTGGGACTGTTGTCTATCGTGGGACCGCCAACTATGCTCCGATGGCTAATTCATCATCTATGATCGATCTGTCCCACCGAGAAAACTCCGATTTGAGAATCTATTGATAATCATAGAAGTTGATACGGCGTGGCCAAGCGGATCTAGAATGGCAGTGTCCGCGAACCAGTAGTCTAGTAACATAATGGCTTCGTTTGATATTGATACCTAATATATTAATATTGTTCCGAGTTGTCAACCGGTGTGTTTGGGACATCGTTTATTGCATTGGTTCTGTGCAGATATCTATGTTGGTCGCGATATTGAGCAACAGCACAGCAGGTGTCCCAAGGCACAGACAGCCATATGTTGGTTGTGGTATTTTTCTGCGTTGGCATAGTCGACTCGCAATCACATCGCCTCAACAGCGTACGTGCCTAAAGTATTCCGCCACCTACCAGAACAAACTACCCTGCTAAGTCGTTCAACAAGAATAGAATTACTTGAGATTTCTTAGCAGAATCAGTGATTGTTTGCGTGAATATATGCCGCTTCCCGTCTTAAACCTGAAGTTTGCAAATCGAGCTCGTGGTGTAATTGGCAACATACAGCTTCACAAATGAGGTTGTGGTAACACTTCCTTCATAGTTGGAAGGAGTTCTTGGTTCGAATCCAAGCCTGCTCATTTTTTTGCTCTTAGCTCTGTTATCTCTTATTTGTGGTCCAGAGCTGAGTGGTACCAAATGGCAGAACCTTGCATGCGGGGCTGAACTAGTCCGGCGGGGTTATGTAACGAACGGTCCCTTGAAGATTGATTCGAGCATTTCCAGTACTACAATTTCTTAATTTGTCTTTGGCGCAACTCCCAGGAAATAGTCTCGCAGAACATCCTTCAATAAACATAGACGTTATTTTTTTTTTTGGCTTGGGAACGTCGAACGTTTACATATATTAGAGCCGCGTTTCAGAATGCAACGTAGCTCGTGTTGTACGACGGCCAGTGCCCCAGTACTGCAGCCAACGCGTTCTATGATAATAACAGGCTTCGTGCGGTCTGGCCCCGCGAGACCAATAACAGGCGTTCTCCATGACTTTGTTGATAGCTAATCTGTAGGTATAATATAATGCTTAGGTTATGCATTATGCCGCAGAGGCTGTCGACACTCTAGTTGGTATCTACTAGTGCGTACACATCCGTATAAATACCGCTTTTTCGCACGCGGGAGAAACGGCCATGAGGTGCAGGCGGTGCACGCTTTATTTGCTAAGATGGAGAGGACGGTTCGACCCCGTACGTGGCCATGATTGTCCTAGTAGTTCAAGCAGTCAAGCGGTCCTCAGGAGCGAATTCACGCCAGCTGCCAGCAGCTCTGATATGGCTGTTTGATTTTTTTGCAAAAAGTCAACACACGGGACGTGCACGTTGACATGTATTTCGTAGGCGCAATCTTGGAGAAGTCCAGAATCTGGGGTCGAAGTAGACATGTACAGCTGGTTTAAGTTGTGCTTTGTGTATCGGGTCTTTTTGTGATTTATTTAAACAAGTATTTTTTGGGTGTAGACATCAATTATAAGAAGGTTATAATTCTGGAAGAAAACATCCAGCAACTTAATCGACTTTTGCTTGTGGCCTGTGCTGCTACGCGTGCGTAGACACTCAAGTACGAGTTCTAGACCAAAAACAATCGATCCGCCTCTTTCCAATTTCCATATTGGATGGCTCTCGAGATCTCTTGCAAACTTTGTTATATACCAGAGCAGATCTAGATATATTATCATTTTATCTTGATCGGTAGTCGTAACCCCCCCCCCCCCCTGGAATGTATACATGTAAGATGAGCTGTCACGAATCAATCAGCTAGCCGGCGACGAAGACTTGGATCAAAAGACAGATTCAATACAATGATACCATATCTGTCGTTCATAGCATAAAACACCACTATTACATTCCCATGCATGATACAGATAAGCTCCTAGATTGATCTAATGAGCAGGTATATATATATCGATATCGATACATCAAAGTTTATGCTGACTATAGTACTATTTAGGCACCGTGCCACTGTGTACTAGAAAGCACCTCCAGATATATAGCCCCAAACGAAAGCCGCTAGTCTAATGATACATGCATATCCGTATCCGGTCCGAGGTCCCAAATGACCGCATGAAGACCGAAGGGACGGTACCAACCCACAGCATATCTATACAGCAACCGCGGATACGAACCAAGTACTAGTATAGCCAAGTCATCCCATATACACCTCATCAATCACCTCTTACTCACGACCCCGTCCTCGCCGCCGTCATACGCCGCAATATCATACTCCTGCGGATACCGATGCAGCACATCTTTCAACTCCTCCATCTGCCTCCGCTGGTCCTTCGTCGGAACATCGTAAATATCCTCCCACATGCTGCTGATGGCGGGCTTCTTTTCCCGCTCGGCGATATTGATCGCCTTGAGGATCTCGCTCTTAGTCTGTGACCGCAGCTGCGAGTCTCTATCCTGGTCCCACCAGTTACGTAGTTCCATGAACTTGCGCAGCCGCGTGATCGGGTTGTCGCGGCGCTTCCAGTCTTCGACCTCGACGCGGGCGCGGTAGGCGAAGGAGTCGTCGGATGTGGAGTGGTGGGAGACGCGGTAGGACATGGCTTCGATTAGGACGGGCTTTTGTTGTGCGATTGCCATTTCGCGAGCCTCCTTGGTGACTTTGTACACTGCCCAGGTCTATATAAGAAATGTCAGTATATGTTTGTGGATCTGTAGATGCGTTACGCATGATACTGAGGCAAAGACTTACGTCGTTACCGTCGACTCTGATCGTGTCGATGCCGTAGCCGAGCCCTCTGCTGGCAATGCCGTCACCTCTATACTGCTCCAAGGTCGGAGTACTGATAGCATAGCCGTTATTCCGGCAGATGAAGATCGTAGGGCAGCCTCTGGTAGCCGCGATGTTCAGCGCAGCATGGAAGTCTCCCTCCGACGCTGCACCTTCACCAAAGTATGTCACCGCACAAGCTTCTTTCCCCTCCATCTTAAGGGCATCTAGAACGTGCGAACGTGTGGATCAGCGACTGACGCAACTGTATCAGCGTCTATGAGCACGACGCCAAAACTTACATCCAGCTCCAGAAGCGTGAGGCAGCTGTGTGCATAGTGTCGAGCTAATAGGATGCTACATAATCGCTGGTGTTAGTGAGCCTTCCATCGCATTTGATATTCCGCGGATACCTACGAAGTTCAGGTCCTTGGAGGTGTAGTGGATTGGCATGTTTCTCCCTTTGCCGTGATCCTTCTTATTCGCAAAGCACTGGTTGACGAATTCATCAAGCCCATAGCCACGGTACATCAACACTCCAGCCTCTCGATATTGGGCGTATATCACATCTTCCTCGCTGAGGGCTGCGGCGCTGCCAACTGCGATTCCCTCTTCGCCCGCATTGACGATATAGAAGCTGATCCGGCCTTGCCGCTGTGAATCGTACATTATCTGATCCATGATGCTGACTGGATATAGTCAGAAGGTCAGCATGCCGCGTCGGTATAATAAAAGGTAGGAGGGTTAGGAGGACGGACCGGAGACCATGCTGCGATACATCTTGAGACACTCTTCTTTGAGCATATCGAAATCCAGGCCGTGGGTTTCGTCAAAGATCTTGCCCTCCGTATCCATCACCCGGTATGTCTCGATGGCCTTTTCCGGATCGAACTTGCGGAATTGCAGCCGGTTCGTGAACTTGCTATTCACGGCGCCCGGGAAGACGAGTCTACACCGATAATCAAAGGCATTAGCCCTCACATCTTACAAAAGTTCTCAATATCATTCGATATCCCGTCGACATCGGCTCGAATCCAGTAGTATGGGAAAAGTCGCACCTATCACTTCCGGGCCGCTGCTTGACAGGTCGCGAGGTGCCAGCTCCGCCATCCCCGACGGTCATTGGCACCTCTTTCGTCCCCTCCGGCTCCCTGGGGGCTTCCGCCGCCGCAGCGACCGACGAGGACAGACATCGGCGCGTAAGACAAGGGTATCGTGGGACAATCGCTCGATACGACCGGGGCAGCAGCGTGCGTCGAAGAGGTACCGAGAAGGACATTGCCGCAGCTGCAATTGGGTATTGGCAATTCCGCAAATCGAAACAAGATGACCGGATCCGACGAACGATGTATGTGGATGAATGGAGAGAAGAGGGAGAAGCCGCCGTGCAGACCGAGCAGAACGGCAGGGTATTCCGCGCCGTTGGCTGCTTTGCTGCTAAGCTTTGGTGAATCCGGGGTCGTTTCGTGCGTCGGGGAGTGCCAAGGCCGACGCATGCCGACGCAGCTCCGTGGGAAGATGGACGGGTTCCTTGCGTCGACCCTGCGGTCTTCTACCGATGAAGATGCTTACTCAGGTACATAGCTACAATGGATAATGAAAGAGTAGGAAGTATTTTTGGTTCATGCGTGTCATCACTACTATACATTATTGTGACGCGAATGGTCGAGCTACGGCTCGCAGACGGTCACTGTGAACGAGGGTATATCCACCACCAGCCCACCGAAACTCCAAAAGCACAACAGCACAGAACATACAGGTACAGCCAAAAAAACGTGCAAGCTAAGCTCACAAAGCCACGAGTGACAGAAAACGTGGCCTACACAAGAATACGCGATATACATACAATAAACCCAATCCTGCCCCTTATGACGCCACAGCTCCTTTCGCGGGGCTGGCTTTCGCAGGGCTGGCGCTAGGACTAGGCGTGCCACCCGCGGCTTTCTCCCCCTTCTTGCCGCCGAGAATGGACATTGCGAACGACGATCCGTACGATTTCCTCAGACTCTTAAGTCGCTTCCACCGATTCTCGTCGTCTTTCCGGTGCTCCTCCTCCGTTTTGTGAGGAATCACGTTCGCCGTCTTGGGACGGGCTGGAGACGGCGCCGCCACTAGATTTCCGGGAATACTGCTCTTCAGTATCCGCAACAGAATCTCCCAGCCGGCGTGCTCGCCTGTCTGCGAAGCCGCATTGATCCAAGGGCAGTACTGTAAGGCTCAAGTCAGCACATGTTTACGTAACAGAAATGGTGAGAATGTAGTCGGAAGAAGGGTGAAACGTACGTCGCGATGTTCATCCACCACATTAAGGCGGTACATGCTGCTGAATTCATCGCCGTCTTCCTCTGCGGTGCTCGGCCGCTTGACGAACAGCCACAGGCCGAGTCGGCGGAAACACGCGTCGCATTTCACCATCTCGACCGAGGCTTCGTTGTCGTCCTTGGCCCAGCCGAATAGCGCCATGATGAGGGCATTGTTCTTCGGGTGGTCTTCGATTATATCGTGGGGGAGGTTGAGAGCGGAGATGTCGACTTCGTCCGGCTTTGTGAGGTTGATGACGTTCTGGTCATCGGAGAGATTATGCAGGGATCTGTATCGCGCATAAAAGCCGGCCCGCGCCTCGGTTGCCGGCTGAAGTGGAAGCCGATATATAGCTTCTATAGACACGTTAGTCACCACTGCGCCAGAGTATTTGAGTAATGCTGAGCATGAGACTTACTATCGCAGCCGCGTTTCCTCCATAGGCATCCTTCTTCGTGGCCGGTGATTATGAGCTCCTCGTACTTGGAGACTAACGCCTCCAGCTTGTCCTCCTCGCCTTGTGCCGCCTCCGCATCGATATCTTGGTCCAGGTCATCGCCGCTGT